AGAGGAGGGACAGAGCTAACGCCTGGTAAATAACCTTAAAACAACTCCAGTTTACAAAAAGACAAAGAAAAAGAAAGAAAGAAAACCAAAGCGGTGCATAAACATTTACACTGCGGTCACATTGTGTAACATGGTACACATAGCATGCATGTTTGTTAAAGAAAAAGGCTCATTGTGTAGACTATCAGCCAAAGTTATTCTGACTTCTTGTAGTCCACCTCGGATGTGTGCTGTTGCTGGTTTTACTTATTGTTTAGTTTGGTTTTACGACAATAAAGTCGAGTTTCATTTGAGATTCACTCTTCAGAGCAAACTGCAGTTCAGCCCTCAGAAACTTTTGGTTTCTGAGGGTTTCTGAGCCCCTTAAAAACCAGACGAACTCAGTCAACAAAGACTGGGTAGCTCCGTGCCAGAGACGAGAAACCATGGGTCATTCTCTGCTTCTGGGACTGATGGACATAATAAAGGACATTGTATAGATAGTTATTGTTTCTTATAATATTTAAACACTCAATTTTCTTTCAAAGAGCAGGTGTTGACTTGAACCCTGTTTTCTTGAGTGAAATGTGATGAGAGTAAGCAAGAAGTCGAGACAGAGAATAGAGATATTGAGCTAATTACTATTCAGACTGAGTGCCTGTGGGGCAGACGGAAAGAGCAGCCTTACCACAAATCAAATAATCCAAAGCTAGAATTTTTTTTAAGACTGAGGGGAAGCACAGCTTTCATGTTTTTTCATTAAAAAAAAGAACTGAAGGTTTTACTTTTCTTGCGATGCCCAACCAGGACAAATGATGGTTTGATTGTGTCCACCACTGGGACAGACCTGATAGGTTGCTGTGGGAAAGTGTTAACAAGTGAGACCCTCTTCTCCTCCGTGGAGCTGTGCTCTGCCTTTTAAGCAGATTTTGTTCTCTAAGTATGAGTTGTAAGCAGACAGGTCATGTTTTTGTTGGTGGAATAACCTTTTTCATGTACTAAAGGGTGCTTCCAAACATATTACATCTAATAATTTTCACTTGTGCATCAGTTTTCCCTGTTTTTCCAAGTCATTCCCACTCTAACGTTCCATTGTTCAGTGATGACATGCTCTCCTTTTGTTAAAGTTTAACCCCTCGTCTCTACATATGGAGGAAGAACAGATGAATTCCAAATCATCCAGATGGAAGAGTGATTACTTTGAGTTTCATTTAATGCGTGCCGACCCCTCCCCCCATCACTGTCTCCTTTCCACTCACTGTCTTTCTGCAGAGAAATCGCCTGCTCACATAAGCTAAAAATAAATCATGTGACTGAGCGCAGCCGACTGTAATGTTCATGCATTACTTATGGAAGTGTTTGCTTTTCTTCGGTTTTTCTCCTCAGAAAAAAAAAACCGAGTTGCCTCTTGGGCAACGTCTTCCAAACAGGAAGATGGTTTTTTTTCTGTCTATAGTTGTATCTGTAGGGTTGTGGTTTTCTTGCTTGATGAACAAAATAATTCAGTGTCACCTTCTTATCTGTTGTAATAAACACTGTTTTTAGTTATCAGTGACGCTAAATTATTATTAAACAAAGTAGTTTTATTGATTTTTTTCTTCGTTTTTTTTTAAACATACAGCATCAAAGAACATAGACCCCCACCCACACACACACACACACACACCCACACACACGCACACACACACACACACACACACACACACACACACACACACACACAC